ACTACTTGGTCACCTAAATACTACATGTTGTCTTCATATTACATAATGTTCAAAGTCTAGAGTCTGGTTACCATAACGATTGAATGGATAGCTACCATCCTCCTAACCTTATTCTGGTGCAGGGAAATAACCCTGAAGTGATAGGTTACAAGGCAGGACAACTCAATCACAAACCACCATTTGCACTTACATTCACGGGTAATTCAGAATCACCAGTTAACCTAACTCTAACAACTGCTTGACTTTTAACTGTGGGAAGAAACCAGAATACCCAGAGAGAACCCAGTGCAAACTAGCCAGATTGTGGATTTGAACCCAGGACCTTCTTAATGTGAAGCAACAGCACTAACCACCATGCCACCAATCCAGACTTAACAAAAGCAGGAAAGCTATGATTTCAAGGCTTGATGCAGAATTCTTTTGTACATTTTTGTCCTTGACACGTTAAACCACAATAAATAGCAATAGCATACATGTGGTGTGTGTGTAGTTGTCTGCCTCTTATAACTCCAGTGATTTTCCTGCAGTTTGACATCTCGTGCGATCTTGTGAATTTCATGAGTTCAGCAACTAACCACTCTTACTAGATTGTATCATGTCATCTCAACAAGAACAAATTAAGTTGTTGAATTTCGTACAGATTCTTCATGATTTAATTACATTCATAGAAACATGAAATTATTGTGTTTAAATTACAAGTTAGACTTTTTTAATGCAACAACCACCCAATTTACTTAGAGGCGGCTGCTCGATTTGACTGAGATGGATGCCTTCCTGAAACCACGATCCAAAGCGTGCGAGACTGAAATCCCGTGCGGTGTCGCAGTAAATTATTGACTTACTTCACTCGAACATGATATGAACAGTTTAATCTAGCCTCTCTGCATATCATGTAGTTTCTACACTATATAGTTACACTTAACTTTAAAGCTTGAGGCACTTATGTTAAATACGTGCAAGCTGCTTACGTAAATCCAAGAGTTGGCCAATCCCTTTTTTTCAGTGCAGAGCGACGTTTCGCTGTACAGGAGGACCGTCTGTTAAATCATATATCACTAGAAAAAATGTCAGCTT